TGACGCCAAACACAGCCCGCTACTAAACCCCTGTCGTCTGCGTCGCTACCCGCCGTAGACCCTAGCAAATTTCTTGGCTATTCTTTTTTTTTTTTTTTCACAGGAAGAGAACTACGCTTTCTAATTTCACAAGAAAAAACCGACCTGTGAAACACCCCTCCGACGAAAAGTTTAGATTGCTACGTGCAGACGTCGATTTTCGCGGTCCATTTTAGATTGAGCCTGGTGACTTGGACGGTACATAGAGTTATTACAATAAACGCTAGAGGCTCAGCTGGCGCTAGTGTGCTGTTTCATTTTGAAGCAGACAGCATGCAGTCAGAAAATGACTTCCGGTAATGCATTTCTATGGGAAAAAGCGAGTGCATTTTCTCTCTGCGCTCGATTATAAGAGCAAATATCACGAATAATTTGTACGTACTAGGCCCATTGTAACATTTCTCAGTCACGCAGATGAAATAAATTGGTCAGTTACAGCATTTTTATTTGAAATTCGCCGCATTAAAAACGGTGTTAAAACCGCTTCGTACGTGTATTTATATGCACTGTCGGACACTGTTAGCGCGAACACGGCGTCGACGCTTCCAGCATGGCGGATATACGTGCCAAACGAACGAAGGACATCTGGAAAACCAAGAGAGACGGCAAGTACTACGCAGTAACACCGGGTAAGTAACCCCTTGTGCTTGCAGAAGATCCAAATAAATTGAAAGTCACGTAATATAGTACGATTTGCAATAAATAAGTACTGCTTTATTCTTTCTGCTCATGAATATATGCGAAGGTGCTTGTTCTGTGTTCAAATCATCACCCGCACGCTCCAAATCGGTGCAGATAGGGGGAAGCCAGAGGACATGTGTGCGCGATAAAAACTGCCCAACATAGGAAATAATAAGAAAACACACCTTTCGAAGTCCACGTTTACGTTTCGAACGTTTTTTTTAACCACTCGTAAAGATGCACGACGGGGTCATTTTCATATAGTGAGATGACAGGCATATTAGCAATATATAAGCACCAGCGGAATGCTGGCAAACTTTGAACACACTCAACATTCCTTTCGATCGTTATTTTGCTTAGAATCGTCGCTCGTTTCTACATACCTGCCATGGAACAGAGGTTTGGGCCTGAAATGTAGCGAAGTTTAGCATCCTTCAGTGGTAAAGGAAAAATGTTGTAACTAAAGCAATTACACTTTCACAATATTAATAAAGGTACATACTACCCGTTACAACCAAAATAACAAAAGTTATTCATGTTATTTTCCGGCGACGAGACAAAATTCACGCGCGTTTTCCCATAGGAATACACAGGAAGACAGGAAAAGTCAGGGGGGTAAAGGTGGGCGAGGAGGAGTGGCAAATCCCGTGCGCCGACATCCTGGGTCCCGAGTAAACGATCGCGAAAGAGAGCGACAGAACACGAGAGAAAGAAAGCAACGTTGCCAGCTGAAGGACGGCAGTCGCAATGGTAAACGCGAAGACTGGAAACTCTCAGCAATATTAACAGTGATAATTTAACGTTGTAAACTAAATTCTGAGCTATTCTAACGCTTATAAAAAGCAATATAGTAATTACGCTGCATTAACTTCCCTTCTGTCGAAACTCAGAAATCTGGTGGTTGCGCGGTTTTGTATTCCTCAACCGCGTCCCCCCGCGCCCCACCGGCGAAGCCGGGTGTCTGGTTTAGTTTAGTGTTGACTCGAGGCCGTACATGTGCGCGTTATGCAAAAAGAAAGCTTCGAAAGGAACGCGAATATCTTTACACCGGTAAGTTCGTGGATTGTTGAAGTTCATGACACTGCCAACACTGCTCTGATGATATAATTGTGAAATCGAAGGCAGTTGGTAACCATGTGGGACCCCGAGGGTCTGCCTGCATACTCTGCCCAGAGTGCTCTGCCGCTAGCGGCAGCCACGGCAGCCAGAATGCATGGGAAAATGGCGGACCAGTGTTGCCAGATGGAGAAAAAAAAAGTCAGCAGACTGATCCCCAAAAAGTCAGTAGATTTGCACAAAAAT